GAAACGGTTAATAATCATAATTGGGACTTACAAAGTAGATGTCAGACACTGGCACTCCCCTTCCAATGAGTTGTGGATGCTGGACACAGAAAGCTGATTGCACGATGTACGTGGCTGAGGCACCTGGGGGCTTGGAGGGTGGGAGGAGGGAGGGGTCGAGGGCAGACGGTGAGAGGAGCTCTCTGTGGAGGAGTGAGGAGATGCAGGGCAGATGGGAGTGAAAGCAGAGACAGGAGAGAGGGCGGAGGTGTTTGGAGCTGAAGTGAGAAGTGTGGGTTGCGCGGCTGAACGAGAGGCCGGAGAAGAAGAGTGGAAGACTGAGCAGTGCGGGAGAGGTGAGCGGTTTCGTGGACGATGGATGGACGAAGCAAGTGTGGAGGACGAGTGGCCCGCTGATTGTGCAGCGGAGGAGGAAGACACAAAGACGGAGGAAGAGTGGAGGAGGAATAGCAGAGGATGGACTAACAGAGAGAGGGTGGATGAAGCGATGACACGGGGCTGGTGATCAGGAGACAGATGGCTGGGAAGGTCATTTCTGTCAACTCTGTGAGCTCCGTGCTCTTTGGGATTTTACTGTATGAAGCAAGACAAGAACACTGTTAAACACTGTTGCACAGGCAGTTATGGACATTATCATATTTCACTATTGCTGTATGTTTATGTACCTGAGCTCCACCTCCACTGTTATGGTGTCCTGCTTTTCCCCATGAACCTCAACTTTCTGTAACCTGAAAATACATGGGACGATACATGTGTGATATCAGTAGGGAAGTACAGCGCACACAATTCATTCTTTTGGCAGAATACTGTCATTATAGATACATTCAAGCAATTATTCTTACCTGGCCAACTTGGGGAATGCATTTGTCTCCTGTAGCGTGGGTGCTCTGGTGTATCGAAGGGAGTGGTGGGTAAGGAGTTGTTAGAGGACAGCGTGGTAGCGATAGAAGCTGTGGTAGCATCTTCAAAGGAAGGGGGGTGCAGGGTGGCTCTCTCCCTAATACGTATAAGTAACCAAGAATATAATATAATATAAAAAAAAGAGATCACAAAATGTATGTGTAATCTATTCTCAAGAATAGAAGCGCTCAATTCATTTCATTTAAAGAGAAAATGGAGCTCTCGGCTGCAGACATTTAAAGCTAATTCATTAACACTAAAGGCTACTGTCACATGGTCACACAATCCTATTAGGTGTGTGGTATTAAGCATCCCATTTTCACTTCATTTCACCTTTAATGAACTCTATGTGCACACATCATGACTGTATATCAATGTGGACTAATAGAGATAAACTACCATTGTCCTCCAGCATGGGGAAGCTGGGAGCTCCTTGTAGGTTCTCCAAGTTGTCCTGGTTTCCTGCTTGTCTTCAGTCAGTGAGGGACGCTGCCCAGCTGAACCTGTTCCAGCACTGGACTTGGACATGGAAAGAGCCCCTCGTCCTCTCTTAGATGGAGACGATCGCAGTGCTGTGAAAGCACAGCATAGTTTATTTACTCCAAAAAGAAAAAAGTAGGAAAACAAAAGAATTCCTTATTGTTGCCATCAAATATAACACACTATGGGAGTATATGGCTCATGCACAGTTGTAAACTCACAGCAGCTCTTCCTGAAGACAATGGTGCTACAGAATTTGTAGAATCTCTCAGCATAGAAACCAGGTCTGTGAACTGACACTGTGTCCTGTGGAGGGGCGGAGGTAGCAATGAAAAAAAGAGACAAGGCAATGTGAGCGATGTTGCACTTTTCATACACAATCAAGGTGCTAAATACATAAAAGACAGACATAGCAACAAAAAAAAGGCAAAAATGTTATATGGTTTATGTTTTGCTTGGATACAGATTGTTACATAACTGTTCTGTGAAAGCTACTCACCCCGTCATGGATGAGAGACTTCCAAGAGTGCTCAAGTTTCTTGATCATTCTGTCAGACAAGACGATTAAATTATTTAGTTAAACTCATTCATTGACTTACTGTGGTTACCTGGCAACTCAGGCCTAAATAGGTGGCTACAGTCCCACATGCAATGCTGATGTGCATTTTAAGATCTGGATTTTATGCTAGGCACCACACACATGTCTTATGTCCACGCTTGTCCTGACAACGTTTGTTATGAGCATCCTCCATTTGTATTTATGTAAAAACAGTGTGAGATGTCTGGAATTGCTTTTTCCTCGTGATCACCATCTTTTAATATTGCTTGCAGACACATAATGCCTGGATTACTGTAAGCCTAAACCTAATCATTTCCTGACTTTAAAACCCAAGGAGTCCAGTGAAAGACCTTACGCAGTACCTCAGACTGAGAAGGCAGTAGAGGTTTAAGGTAATATATGAGCCTTTAACACCAATATGTCATCATTATTAAATTAACTTTGACACTTTGGATGTATTACATGAAAACTGGCAGACAATCAGAGAAACACTAGTGGTTTGTTTGTCTTTTTAAATTAAAACCATATTTCCCATAAATCCTCATAAATCCAGAAGCTTAGTGTTGTAAGGAGGATTTTGGAGAATATAAAAACATAAAACATTGGAAGCATGACATCTGACATTGTGAGACACTCTGAAAGCTCTGTTTATGCTGGAAGAACAGGAGGAAAATCTGGCCTAGGTAGTCGTAGTTCAAAATGTAATGTTGAGGCAGAACAAATTGATTGCAGTGGGTATTGCTGATTTGTGAATGTTACACAAATATAATTTCATGTATTCATTTCCTGATATTAAATGGCAGCTTTAACTTGCCTACCTGTAGGACTGCAGGATATCAATAATTCCAATGAACAGCAGGAGGCGCTCTCCTTTAGCACCCACAGCTGGAATACCACCCATACTACAGACAGATAGGAGAACATTACCATCATTTGTAAATTTAATGTGATGATTAGGGCATAGAGTTTAAAATAGTGACTTACGTGTCATCATGGTCCAGCGTGTCCCTACATGTGGAGCCTCCCTGTATAGACTCCATGGCAGTTGAATACAAGGCTCTCTGAGCTGCACGCTTCTTTTCATCCCCGCCTCCTGCAGGCGAGCCCTGGGACTGGCGGTCCCGCTCCGCTTGGGTCTTGTTGTGCACCCCCAGCAGCAAACTGTAGTCCATAATCTTAAAACTTTCCAGAACCTGACATGAAATACATGATATTTCAAAAAATTTTCCAAGCTGAGAAAATCACAACATTTTGTAACACGTGCATAAAAAACACACAAGCCACTTTGAAGCCTCTTTCTCTCCCTTCTCTTCCTCTATTCTTTCTCCAATTCATCTGCTCTTAATTTACAGTATGAGTCTGAGCAAATAATTTATGTGGTTGGCTGTGCTGACTTTGTTGACATAAAATGAAATGCACAGTGTTAATCTACTTTTACAAAAAACGTGTTCCATCCATCTCCTGCCTTCTCTCTTTCTCACCAGGCAGTCTCTCTGCAGAGTTTTGACCAGAGCGCTGTATGTGTCCTGGTCCAGAGTGAGGCCGTCAGGAACGTCATTCAAAAGTCCAGGTCTTTAAAAGTGGGTTTTGACTTCTCTCTTTCTTTCTTGGATGCTCGCCTCTTGTATGTGGAGCCCTTCAGATCAAACTTGAGGTGCATGCGTACAGAGCGTGGTAAAATGTTGTTCATCACAACAACTCGGATGTTCTTGCCCCCACACTGCACGCAGTAAAGGCCAAAAAACTTTGGCAGCAAAGTCCGGGGGTTCTGGTTCAAGTTCTGGAGAGGGGGTTCACGCAGCAGACACAAAGAAAGAGACAGGAAGGATTAAAGAAATATGCTACATTATTTGGTAATAAGGCATGTAGTCTATGTGTTTCAGCCCCATTACCATGCACCTGCCAGAAAGCGTGACCCATCCACAGGCCTCAGCCCATTCTTGTGTGTCTCTACTGTGTGCATGATTAACCTGTTAAGGAGTACTTAGGCCAGGTCTCGGTTAGCTACAACCTCTCTGCTAATATCTATTACAAAGCTACCTGCTTGCGTCACTGCTGACAGGGGCCAACACCAGGGGGTAAGGTAAAGAGGATAAAGAAGACTAGAAGTTTCAGCTGCTGCATTGCTCTTAAGCATGTACTCATGTACACAAACATCCCATGCCTACACACCCAAATCTCTGAATAGACACACTATTACGTTGATTTATTGGGCTGAAAGGTAATTTAGTAGAAAAATATTTGCTGTACCTGCAGATCTTTCTGCTATTTGAATTGGTCAAACTAAATATTAGCATACAGGTTTCAGTATGTTTCATATTAAGCAAAGACATTTGTCTATACTGCATAATGAATTGTACACACTAATATTATAATAACATATATATTGAAAATGTAGTATGCACTAACAATTTGGACTAACAATTGAATTGAGGGTCTCGGTTTGACTTACCATATAATATCCAGGAAGGAGTTTCTGTAGAAACTCTGCCTCTTTATGCATAACAGTTTTGATGATGAACTCGTCATCGCGGGTTACGTAGAATATGGAGCCACTAGCTCCTGGATTTGTCAACTCAATCAGTGGCTCATTACATAGAGAATACTAGACAGAGCAGAGGCACAGAAGAACAAAGATAAGATTAAACACAATCCCCACAATGACCCACAATCTCTAAAGAGTGTTTTAACATGCAGCAGCCATAAAGGTTTTACTTTATTATTAAGCTTACTTGTCTGTCCTGTCTTTAAATGTCTTTTTATGTGAGAGGCTTTTTCACCTGAGTTTGTACTTTCATCCTAAATTTAACATCTCATGGGTACTGCAGGGCTGCATAGCACCATTACTGTTGGATCCAATCGAGCTTTCAAAGCTTTGTTGACACACTTGACTTTTGAAGTGCAAGTGTGTATACACTACTGTGTGCAAAAAGGCGTTCTGGGTGTGGATGTGAAGAATCATATATAGAGGAGTTTAAATTGTATATTATGACATTTTTAATAAACTTGTCTATGTTTTACATTGATTGCTGTAAAGCACTTTGTTATCTGTATTGAAAAGTGCTATACAAATAAAGCTATTATTATTATAATTTTTTGCACCTTAATGTAGAGGCAGTAACTACAGTGAAGTGACTAACTCAACAGTGGAAATATTTCTTTCACCCACTTCTGTGCACTAGCAGGAATTATGTTGAACTGAGGTGAATCAACATAAACACTCCAATAGCAAAAGTGGGCTTAAATGTACCCTGAATATCTTGGTGTAAAGCCATTGAGACTTTTTAAATGACAAAATCAGATGTAATGAAGTTGGTTAAAAACTAAGGACTTAAGTAGAAAAGTAAGAAAAACTGCCCATTGCTTGAGGTCAATTTGTCTAACAAAGTAATTAAATTTACCAGTAAGTCAGCACAATGCAATTATACTGGTAGTCCTCCACCCCCTCCACCAACACAAACAAATGCAGACGCAAACACAAACTACTCTCTCTGACTGTCTGCTGCCACTACTTGGAGTTTAAAAAAGAAAGCTTTAGCCTGCTAATCTCCCTCTGGCACAGGTTGAATATGAGCTTAAACACGCAGCTGAGAACGCTATGTCACCGTGTGTGTGTTTGCAGCCTCACATGCAAAATATGTGCGGGCATGTGCAACTTTTTTTGTGTGTGTTCGCGTGTGCACAGTTCTACTTTTTGATTTGTGAGGGTGTTTAACGTTCATCCTCAGAGCAGTAGATGTTTGATGAAGCCAGGGGAATGTTTTCTTTGATAATCAATTGAATGCTTTCGGGGGGGAACTTCACACAAATCTATATTTAGTTTATGTTATCTCATATCACACAGTGTGAACTATTACAATGCTATCAAATATAAAAAAACATAATTCATTTGCATATGAATTGTAAAATCTTTTTGTGGTCTTAGACAAGGCGACTGTAATAGAAATTACTGTTGCTGGAAAAAAAACTGCCTCAGTATCGCTCTAGTACAACTATTATAATTAATATTATGAATTTGCAGGTGTTGACCAGTTCAGTAATAAAACAACAAAACAATATGGTGCTAACAGTTAGCTAACCATAAGGTGCAAGTTATTATGCGTGATTTGTACATGTTCGCTTCACAACTGATGCTGTATGTCACAGAATACATTTCACTTTCTCAGCACTTTATAAGACATTTAAATACTCTCAATGCATCACCGGTCATTCAAGAAAATAAATATCTCACCAGGTAGTCATCTGGTCGGATCCCAAATAGCTCTCGGAAGTAGCGGAAGGCCACAGGGGCGTAGGTTTTAAACCTAAAGTCTGGGAAGTGGTGTGCCGGAGTGAGGTTACTGCCTTCACTGTATCGAGCAAGATGGGGAAGAATAAAACAAGATAAAAGATCGTATTCGCTTCTTGCCACCCACACATGCACATAAGCACACATGCACTCATACAAACACACCTGGGAAAGAAGATGCTTTCCACCACATAGAAGTCCTGCATCAGCACATCTCTCTCAGGCTTGGAGCTGAGGTTGCCAACAGTATATCCAATACCCAGCTGGATGGCCCCTTGCAAGGCAGAGGAGGTGGTCTGGAGGCGAAGAACAGAGAAAAGAACACCAGAGTAAGGTGTGGGTGGACCGTAGTTGGTGAAATCATGACGCAAAGCAAAGCTTCAAACAGTATTTAAGACATAGGGCAAAGTCTACCTTCTTGTATGTCGTCTCTCCAGAGGCATCTACTCTCCTGTGGCCAATCTTTTTCTCATGGGCTTGGCCAACTCCAAATGGGGACGGCATCTGTCACAAGGAAAGGAAAGGGATATACAATGTATATGTGATTTATGTACTCCAAATACTGTATATATAGACCCTTCAGAGGTCATATGGAATTGAACCATGCAGCAAACCAATGCAGATGAAAGATGTGAAAGAGAAGACGAAAGCAACAGAGACAGGTGACACAGACGGATGTATAATGTGAAGGAGCCTCTCACCTCTGTTATCTGAGCCTTCTTGGCTGAATCTGTGGACAAAGACAGAGAGAGAAGGTGCATGAGAAAAGGGTTGAGAGGTGTCCGCATCGGTACATTATTTAGCAAGGAATGCCAACCAACACATTTAGCCAAGTTAGCCCATCTGAGACCTCGAGCATCAAGACAAACATAGAAGCTGTAGATTAATTCCCTGTGATTTTCAAGTATAACGTGCACAATATATAATACCTGATCTATATTGGAAATTTTAACATATACAATCCTGAGACTGACAACCGGGAAATAACCTCATCTGCTGAGCAAGGTTGTGTGAAAGGATCGAAAGGACAGCTACTAATGAACCTTGTGGTGAGATTATTTTAAACTAATTTGGCAACTGTCATACTAATTTAAATTTGATGTTCCAAATAAATTGTTGGTTAACTCACCAGCAGAGGTTACCAATTGTTTGATAATCCAGAAAGACAAAAGACATGCAGCAAAATTCCTGGCTAAACCAAAACAGACCACTGCAGAGTGCAGTCAGTGTTTTCTATTCCCGGATCAGTGAGATTTGTACCGAGAACGTAAAAACTCTATTGGATTGACTTCCAACCCTAATCTGAGTGCTGCCATTGGCTAAGGTTCTCAGATCACATTGCCAGCCAATCACACATGAGGCTTAGGTTTCATCTTCCCACTGATGTGAAGGCCGCAACTGGACTGTGTCTTTATGTTTCTGTGTATAAACAAGGGAGAGAGTGCTGGAATGA